CCATCCCATCCCATCCCATCCCATCCCATCCCATCATGGAGGAAGGGAGCAGAAGCTGCGCTTTGGCACATCTCAAACAATTAACAAGTGCTTGAAGCACTGAGAATTTGTTTACAAGAACGGATGGTTCTACCCTTTAAATATAGCATCCAAGCTTTCATGTTTTCCCCCTAAATGGCAGAAGGACTTTGTGTTGTCTCTGGTGGTCAGTGGGACACCTGAAGCTGCTGGGTGGCAGGCTGGATTTTGTGCTGTTCCTGGCATTGATGGGAGCTGAGAAATGAATTCACCAAGACTTCTTCTGTAATGTTTTGCAGAAATGAATCTTCTGTGGGGTGTTCTGGTTATAATGGCTGTTTCCTCGTCTTTGTGGTCTGTTCAGGCTACTGATCGTCATCCACAAGTGCACGTGGAAGCGCCTACTGCAGGCCTGCTGTCTCAAAGTGACAATTATCAGTTAAGGTTGATTTTTAAGGTATAGCTGAGACTCCAGGAGCATCAGAACAGGGCAGAGAAGCTTTGTTCATTTGAGCTCGTTAGCAATCCAGCTTGCTTTTCCCACTCACAGCTGTGGGAGAGTGTAGGGAGCTCAGTGTACACGAGCCAGTCACATGCTTCATCAGACCCAAGAACTGCAAAGGCTGACTCCTCCGTAGCTGACTTGAAAAATGTATCTTGAGATTTCTGGGCTTTAGGAATGAATCTACGTTGCTGTGTTGTGCTTTGCTCTGCTGCTCCTGGGGGTGTTGCTCAGCATCCCGCTGCTCTCCTGCCTTCAGGTTCTCTCCTGGCCCTCCTGGCAGAACAGCTTCTGCAGCAAGGCATGCTGTAGCAATGTTTAATAACACTGGAAGCATTTGTCAGGAGAGCTATTCATAGATCTCAAGTGTCTCTTGCTTGTAGAGCCTAGGAGAGGTTGCTGCAAGCAACCTAAAAATACCCAAATTCATTTTAGAATTCCTCTCTTGGAATAGATCCAGGCTTCCTTTTTTCATCTTTCTGCAGCTGATGCCTAATGTCACCCTGAGAGATCATTTGGACTCGTCTGCTGTTTCTATTTACGTACATGTGTGTGTGTATTCTGTATGTGTGCACACATACACAGGTGTGTATCCTACATATATCCTACATAAATGACACGATATAGCTGTGATATGTATGCATCTGTTTGTCTGCATAGAACACATTGCACAGCAGTATCATTAGCATACCTGACATTGGTGGCTATTTTCAAGTCTCCTAATGAAACTGCTCTGTAATGTGTTACATTTAAGATATGGATATGTTGTTCTTCCCTCACTGGGCAGTTATATGAGCAATGCAGATGAGTTAAGTTTGGATGCAGTGCTCTTCTTGGCTCATTTTGGGGAAGCCCAGTGCACACATGGCTCTGATGTTTACAGGTGACCCAGTGAGAATGAATGGATGACATCCCATCCCAGTCACCTGATTTTACATGGCATTTTCAGGGTGTATAAGCATATGAATAATAGGTATTAAAGTGGATTTAAAAATAATGGTGTGTAAATATACAGAGGCAGGGTTGTTAACATTGGACCCATGCAGGAATGTGCAATAGGCACAAATATTCTCTTCTATCCAGCAGCAGATCTGGAACGCTTTCTTTCCAGCTGTGTGAGTTTTGGGATGGGATGTGCAGCAGTTTCCTTGGGGGCAGGGCGGCATGGGGTTGAGATGCATTGCTGATGGAAAGGAAACTGCAAGTTAGGGCCATTAGGATGATCAGAGGGCTGGCGCATCTCCCCTATGAAGAAAGGTTGAGAGAAGTGGGATTGTTTAGCTTGGAGAAGTGAAGGCTACAGAGAGACCTCACTGTGCCCTTCCAGTACTTGAGCTTATAAACAGGAGGGAGAAGGACTGTTTATGAGGGTGGATAGTGGTAGGACAAGGGGGAATGGTTTTAAACTGAGGCAAGGAGAGGTTTAGGTTGGATCTTAGGAGGAAGTTTCTCACTGAGGGTGGTGAGGCACTGGAACAGGTTGCCCAAGGAGGCTGTGGATGCCCCATCCCTGCAGGCATTCAAGGCCAGGCTGGATGTGGCTCTGGGCAGCCTGGGCTGCTGGTTGGTGACCCTGCACACAGCAGGGGGTTGGAAGTGGATGAGCACTGTGGGCCTTTGCAACCCGGGCCGTTCTGTGATTTTTATTAGGGCAGTTCTTTTTCCAGAGTGCATCCTGTCAGAGCGTTCTCTTTGTAAATCACTTTAGGAATGGGTGAGTTTGAACAGTGGTTGTTTCTCCTCTTTTCTCAGCAGAAGCATTCCATACAGAGCTGCAGGTGAACTTTTTAGTGATAGACACAAGTAACACCAGGGAGCACACTTAGGGTATGCAGGCCCTCCCCTTGCCAAGAGAGTGCTGCACCCCACTCTGTATGCCCTGAGGCAGCTGTTTGTGTGCTTTATGCAGGAGCTGCTAAACAGTCGGCACTGTTTTCCTTTAAAAATATGCCACTAGGTTCAAGACTGCAAGCAAAAAAAAAAAATTAATAATAATAAAAAAATCCCCACCCCCTCCCGAATGTAAATTCAGCTTGTTCAGCAGCAGTGTGAAGCCCTGCATTGTCTGCTGTCGGAAGTGGGAGCTGAAGGGGACAGACGTTCCCCTGCTCAGCAGGAGCGCGCGGCGACGTTTTGCCCTTGTTGCATTATTAATGGCACCATGTTTTTATTTTGCAGATGGCTGAAAGCTAGCAAGGCACTTTCAGGACCATGATGGCTCAGTTTCCCACGGCGGTGAATGGTGAGTAGCTCGGTTCTGGTTGTTCAGGTAGGGGTGGGAGCATTCGCTTTTATTTTTTGTTGAAATGGCCCTGTGGAAAAGGAGCTGATTTTTGTATCTGCTGCAGCGTTGTGGACAGTTTGCTGCAGACTGCTTCCTGTAGTTCAGCTTACCTTGTACGACCGGGAGAAATTGGCTGCGAGCGTAATTGTGGTGTGATTTAGATACAGAAATGCCTGGAGCATCTAGAAATCTCAGATCATTTAAAGGGGTGAGGAATGTTGGTCTTGTGTTATGAGCACTGACTGACTGCAAGTGGGAAAATGCAAAGTAATAGCTGATTTGACTTGCATACCTTTTGTGTTATGTAATGCAGCACAACATTTGTTTCATTATAATTGCTACTTAAGCTGAAATAGTAGAATATGTTAATCATTTAGTGTTAACTAGAACTATCTTTAGAAGTAAGAAAAACTTCAGAACCTCCCTCCTAATTCTGCACTCTGTGGAAACTTTTGGATTTGTTTCTTGGTGATTCTCTATCAAAGATGTGTAAAAGACCAAAGTTTAGAATTGTTTGTGTGTTTATGTGTATAGTGGAACTCACTATTTCTAAAGCAAGCTTCTTTCTGAAGGCACAAGTTGCAGCTGTCTGCTGAGAAATGTTATGTTTATGTGCTGTTGTTTGCAAAGCTGGCCAAAATGGAAAGACAAATATAGGAACAATGCTTGGTGCTCCAGATATTCCAGATAGGGAGCTGAATGATAAAGGTATTTCTTCTCTGTGAAGGTTACTGCAGGACTGGGGGGTCTGCATGTAACCAGTTTAGAAGATCACTGCTGTTAAAATGAGTGAAATAGAAAAAGAGAAGTGTTTCTTAGCCAAAGCAAAGTGCTGAGAATTCAAATTTAAACTGTTTTATATGTTTCACGTGTGCATAAAACACCTTTTTTTATACAGACAGTTGCAGTTTGATCTGGACTTTGTTCCACAGACTTAAAAGAGAAGTAAAACGAGTCAACATATTGCATATCATAGGGCAAAAACCTACGTATCACTTCCACTTCTTGGGCATCATAGAAAAACAATTTTCTTGTCATTGTGTGCTCTTTGCTCCCCAGCTTAAACACAAAATGCTCTTCAGAGAGGACAGGGGTTTGTGCTCTCGGCTGTCCTGTGGTTGATCTACACGTGGACAATTCTGTCTTCTTTGTTTGGCTCTTTTCTTTCTGGTGAAGGACTGCAGGTATCTGACAGCAGTGATCACATGCATGACTTGAACTGAGAAAGATGTAGCTTGGGGAAGAGCTCCTCTTCTTCATCTGGAATCCCTTGCACAGTTCAAAAGGGAACTAGGCCAAAAGGTTTTGTTGAGTCAAGAAATAAGTTTCACTGTGTTGAAATACTTAGTAAGAAAATGTGAGCTAGCAGGCAGCAGTTAAGCTCACAGTGTATTTGAATGACTGTGTGTGCTTTTGCAATGATGTTTCTCATCAGAATTGATTAAATATGAAAGATACCAGGCAAGGAAGAAAAGAGTAGTTTTAACTGATTTCTGGATAAATACAGAGCAATTTTTACTACTGAAACTGTTCTGTAATCTGTGTTCCCCTTCCCTGCTACTTCCTACTGCTGTTTGCATCCAAAGTAGATCACCTACATTTAACACTCACTGCAGACCTCTGATTATGGTATTAGACATTGGTAATGGCTTCAAGCATTGGATGAAGAATGCAGTGATGCATGAGGCAGTAAGGCACTCCTGCAGCCCAAGTGGAGAGCAGTGGCTGCCTGCCGTGGGGCATTGGCCCTTTTGCTCTCTGCTAGAGGAAAACTGTGGGTTTTTTTTGTGGGGGAAGAACCTCTCGTTCTTATCAAGGTGCAAAGTCTTAGCTTTTAGGTCATTAATTACAAAAGTAGTTTCAGGTTTGTTTTTGGTGCTTGGTGTTAAAAGCTAGCAGATAGCGTGTGTGTGCAAGTGAGCAATTACATGGTACAGAATGACACCAGGGTTGAGAACTGCAGGGTTCAGATGACGAAGTGAGATACTTACATCATCTCAAACAATGTGAGCAGAAGAGTCTGCAGCACCTTGTTTTCTATCTGAGCAGAGAAAGGGAAGAAGGTTAACTCGCTTAACTGCTGGAGTTCCAGTTCAGAGCCTTGAATTCATGGAGGGCACCTTGGGAGCTCTCCCAAACCAGCTTCTCAAGACTCTGCAGCCTGAGTGTGTGGCTGACAGCCAGGCTGTGTGTTGGGCTGAGAACTGGCATATTCTTTTCTAACTGTGTGGTCACACGTAAACTTCAGCTTGGTGGGACCTTCTGTGCTCCTGGGACACATGCTCTTGCTAAACCACTTATCTTTCCTCTCTAAAGATATACAAGTACACAGTGAACATCTACAGATGGGTTCCCTTTGACCTTCCATTTTAGTCCAAGGTGACTTTTGTGGGTGTGTTACTAACAGACTGGAAATGCAGAGAGGAGAAGCAGGACTTGAGGAGTGCACGTTGATTTTATGGAACTCGGGATGCATCTGCCAGGTCTGGCAAACTTGGGCTAACTGTAATGGTTGTGGTGACTTCTTATGTGAACAGGCAAGACTGAGCGATGCCTTACTATGGGAAGGGTGCAGGTTGCAAGCATGTGTACAGCGCCAGATAGATCAGCAATCACAGAGAGTCTACTGTGACTACTGTGAGATCCAGGCTAATCTAAGGAACTCATCTCAAATCCTGTAAAAGTGGTTAAACTAAATATCAAATACTTTCAAAATTACATTTCTAAAGAATGAGTTAGCAGTTAAAAATAGGATAGGCACTGAAACAACTTCCACGTAATTTATCTTTCTGATTGCTGTATCTGTCATAAAGCAGCTTGCCCTGCCGTGGGATGTTTTCTGCTACAACTGGAGAGCAGCTACAAGATGTTGCTCTTCTCCCAACTCTTCTTCTTCTGTAGGTTAGAATTTCTCAGTTGGGCTGGATCTTGGTTTAGGGAGATTTAATCTTGACAGTCGGGCAGGAATGAGGAAGGCAGTCTTTGCTGATCAGTATCTCACAGAGTTTCCTTAAGTACCATGGGAGTTTTGGGACTGGTTTTCCTGTTTATGTTTTTGTTTGTCCTTCCTCTTCCCTCCTACCGCCTGTTTCCTTTGATACAATGTGTAGTGGTCCAACAGGAAAACACCTCTGATAGCTGAGATGCAAAAAGTAATACTCAGAACTCCATTTCACTTTCTTTTTAAGCTTATTACTTCAAGCTGGGTTTTAGTTAGTGAATTCAGAGCTGAATGGGGTTCTGGTTCCACTGCTGTCAAGAATAATGCAGTCACAAATTGTCTTCTCTCTTTAAAAAGTCTTATCTCAGATCCCTGGTCTGAAATTTCTTGGAATTGGTCATTGCAGTTCAATTAAAACCTTAATGGGTGCAACATGACTCTTAACCTTGTGTGTACTGCAGGCATGGAAACTGCAGACTTGGATATCAGCAAGTGTAGATAAAGACACTGAGCTGAATTACAGCTTGCAAAGGAAGTGTCAGAACTTGTTCTTTCACCTCGAGTAAGGCAAAGGAAATGAGGGAGATTCAAAGACAGCGACAGAAATATTCTGTGGCCTTACTTACGTTTGTAAATTAATTCCTGGGTTCTGCATGAGGATGATACAGAGCGAACTTCATGTGTTTAAGTCAGATGGACTTACATGTTCCACTATCAAACTGCAAAACATTAGGTTTCCAGTTGCACATCCTGTATCAGATGTGTACTTTAGTTCTAAGAAGTGAGTAGTTCTGTAGAATTGCAGGAGTGTCTTGCTCATATGTCATTTTGGAAGCTGAAAATAATGAGATATAGAGGTGAATAATAACACAGTAAAAGGAGCAAGGTTTTAATGCAGAGGGCATCCCATGCTTTCTTTAGTCTCTAAACTTTGTGGGTAGAGTCAAACAGATGGAGTTTATTAGAGAGAGAACTGGCTAAAAGGGAGAGAAAATGTAAGTACCAGTCTTGGTCGTTGTAGTAGTGAAATTCTACATGGATTGTTATCCTGGGACCAAACGAACTCATTTATTATTTATGGAAACATCATTAATGCAAAGCACGTGTATGCTGGTTCGATTTTCTGATGACACAAGGAGTCATTTTCCAGGGAGGATTCATAGAATCATAGAATCAGGAAGCACTGCATCACTGGTTCAGTTCCATCGCGTTTCCGTTGTGCTTCCTCAGGTGGCTTTGTAGTCATGCTGCTGTAGGCTGGAAGAATTTCTGCTGTGTGCTGGGAGCCCAGGGTTTGGCTGTGACTAAGGGGGAAGACAACCGGATGTCTTAAATAATCACGTAATAATTATGTAATTGGAGGGAAAGGAAATGCATCGTAGAACGTGGTGGTGAAGTGATACTGTGTGCTGTTGCATAATGCAGTGCTACATGGCTGCCCAGGGAGGTGGGGTCACTGTCCCTAGAGGTGTTCCGGAGCCGTGCACTGTGGGCATAGTGGGGTGGATTGGGGTTGGACTTGGTGATCTTAGTGGCAGCACAAAGTTCAGTAGAGATCACAGAATGGCTGGGTTGGAAGGAACCTCAAGGATCATGAAGCTCCAACCCCCTGTGAATTGGCTGTTAGTGTGTAGGGATGGAAATCGGAATGGTTCTGGGATGTTCTGGTCCCTGTGGTCAGGGAGGAATCTGAGCGCCATAAGGCAGAGCTTGGTTTTGGGGAAGGAATTCTGTGTGGGACCTCCTCAGAGCAGCTGCAGTCCGGACATGATGACCTTGGAAGTGCCTTGCAGTCCTAAACCAATCTTCACCATTAGTTGGTAACTTGGCAAATGGGTTACTTTAAGCTGCCTTGTCTTGATAAGGTTTTACTTTTAGGACTGTGTTAGGTTTTGTAAGGTAAGACTGTGCTGAATGGGGGACCAAGGGATTCATCTTCTGTAATACGTCTATAATTTCGGCTGCTTTAATCATTTTGGATGCCAGTGAGATTGCCTTGTGGTTCTGTTGTACCTCA